AGCACATCTAAAAGTATGCCCTTGATCTTTGCCATCTCGAAAATCTACATTCTGCTGAAATATGACTGTTCTTTTCTTGCCAAAATTTGTCTGCTTGTCTGCTGCTCACAGATGGCCGAGGTCAAAAAACTAAACTCCATAAAATGCAAATGCAAAGTCTACCAAAAAGATTCAAAGGACTTTTAATCTTTATGAGCCTAAAGTTACAGTATTTAGCATCCCAACAAACAGCCCTTAGAGGATTAAAGGACCATTTAGGATGTATTCTGATAGTTTCCCTGATCAGCTAAAGGGAGTCCATAGAGGAACAAGGAAACACAGCAGGTCACCTTGCGTAATGTGCCTATTATGTAGTCTGGAAGAGAAACCTGGGTCAATGTCTCCTATTGGACTTCCAGGCACAGGCCTGCTTATCTGCAAGTTGGCCAGGACTGTTCTGTAGGAGGAAAGGTGGGTCATTGGGCTGAGCCCAAGTTGTCAGGTGCCACTCTGCTCCCAGCCCCTTGCCCTTGTAACTACAAAGAGCACATCCTGGGCCTTGGAGATTGTCCAGGCCCTGGCATCATGATGATTGGCTGGGCAAAGGCTGGACTGCAAAAAGCTCACTGTCAAGGTTGCTTGTTAAGCGACCAAACGTCATGGTACTTTCCTTTCACCTACAAACCTGTGTCCCATTGCGTGAACCAAAAATGCACAGTTGATTCTTTCCCATGATGCCACAAAAAAGCAAACTATCCCATTTCCTCCCAATGGCTGTTCCTTGAACTTCTGACAAAGAACATGTGACACAGAACACAATACCCCAAGTGGCTCGAGGCAACACACTCCTATGAAACATACAATGGAGTCATGGAATGAAAACACTTAGCATATTAAAATATGCAAAAACTGTTGTGCTAGAAAGCAGAAACATAGGGAATTTGTGAAATAATGTACAGAATCCAACACTGAAACTCCAGAAATGAAATGAGCATAAGTCTGTTTCTCTGTGAGCTGACATTTTGTGCATGGACTCAAGAACCACAGAGTTGCTGGGGAAGCCTTCACCCTGGTCAGGGCAGATGGAAGGATGAGCATGTGAGGGTGTGATCAGCTAGAAAGCCCACTGCTCATCTGACAGGAGGAAGTTTCTCTGCCTTCAGGGCCAAGTTTCATGGATGACAACTGCCCTGCTCCCAGGTGCTACAGGATGTCTGCCTGGGTTGTGGTCCTGCTCCCAGTGGACTGAGATGCCTCAGCATCCCCAGAGCTCAGTGCAGTGGAGAATTAAAGCAGTTTATTGGCAGGGCACCAGGCCAGGAGATGAGGGAGCTAGCACTCAAAATCTGAACTTCTTAAAGGATTTTAGAGTGAGGGTTAGGGGTTAGAGGTTGAGGGTGAAGCTGATTGGTTAGTTCTTGAATGTAAGCCTTGGCTGTTTTCCTTAGTCTGATTCATTCACTTTCTGACGTCATTTTGTCTGGGTGCCTTTGTCATTTTTGTCGGGTAATATAACTGGGTTGAAGAACCAAGATATTTCTGCAAAAAAATCTTATGATTGTGCATCAGTGACATTATATTTAAAGCAAAAGTCAGAAACTAAATGCCTTGTGACCATTGTTATTGTTTAAGCTATCATCATTTTGTGCTTAACTAGCTGCATTTTTCTATTATCTCAAGCAAAGTGTGCTTTTAAACATTTTTCCTGGAACTTGCTTTACAGGCAGGCCTTCAAAACATGACTAACATACTTTCTTAATCTTTGACTATAAACTACGTGACAACCAAAGCAACTGAAACATTTAGTTAAAGCTTATCTCTAGACTAATACCTAAATATGTTTACTGTTAACTGCTGGTTTTACATACAGACTGCCACATTTCCAGCCACTGCTTCAGAAACTCTTTAGATAGGTACACACATTTCCTTTACCATCCCTGGACCCAATGATCCGTGGACCCACTTGCCCATAAGGAAGAATCTGAAATCCCTCTGGTGGAGGTCAGGTTCATTAAATGATCTGAGAACTTAGTTTTTGATCACTACAGCTGGATAAGATGATTAAACCATTACAGTTTTAAACGGAATGACCCTCATTTATTCAAGTTGAGGTAAATATTACTGCAAAAAAAAGTAATATTAACTCCCTGCATTGTGGAAATTTTGCTTTTGGGATGAGTATGTGTTTTCATTCCATTCAGGAAATACACTCTTAAATATTTCCTTACTCTAGCCAATGTTGACCCTTCCTTTGAAACTAACTTTTTGAAAACAAATAAAACCTATTTTAACTTCCTTATATTTCTTTACAATATGTTTGCTATTGGTCTATAATGAAAAGTTGGCACTTTATAAAATATATTGACATTTAGCAGATTGCCAGTTTTAGTACTTGGAAAGGCTGTAATCATGTACAGAAAGACTGGGCTGTTCAAAATATCTTACATAATTCTGAACCTTTATAAAGTTTTTTTCTAAGATTTGAGGGAGAGCAAAGCTAGATTTCCTTTCCTAACAGCCATGTTTGACAGCCATTATATTATGAAATAAGTACTTTTAAAATTAATGGTTTGAATTCCAAATTATACTTCTGAATAAGTTTTTATGAGAAAAGTTGCTGTATAACTCTTTAAAAAAAACATTTCTTATCTATTTTATTCTAGATTTAATGAGTTACCATTTTAAAGAATACCAGAGAAAATTATTATTTTGATCATTATATTGGGATTCTAATTTTACCTTAATTTCATTTTAAATAATACAAACAATCCAAAATAATGCATTATTAACATATAAATCAGCATTTCAACCTGAGTTATAGGCTATATACATTATCGATGCTTTTCAGCTAAAATATACTCATAAATACACAAGAAAACTGTAAAATGTAGATGTTGTCATTATGCAATAATGCTCTATAAAAAAAAGGTATACCAGACCCAATACTGAACATTGCATGAAGACTTAATTGCTTTTGTGTTTAATAACAACAAAAAAGATGTAATTCTAGTACTCACTTATTTCTATTGTTGTAAAGTTTTTATAAGTACATATAAATTAAATATTATTTCATCAATGCAAACATTTTTTAATCTGCTTTACTCCAAATGTAAATTATAATTCATTAATTTCTGATGGCTTTCCACTAATAAGTTACTATTTTAAAATGTTTCCGTGATCAATTACTTTGGCAAACACTGCTACAGTCAAAGGGATGTCTTTAAACCAGAATTCAAACTAAATGTTTCTATAAGTTAAGATGTCCCAATTTAAGTCAGAGAGATATCTGGCAGTTTTCATAGCTTGATGTTAATTCAGATGAGTGCTATATTTCAGGTGCACTGATTTATCATTTCTTAGATGTATCAAAAAAAAAAAAAAAACAAATGGAGCTACTTTAAAATGGAGTGAGAGCTGCCATGCCAGAAAAACTGCCTCCCAGGTATTATGCTTCAAACCTTTGAAATGTTAAAACAGAACAAAATAACCTTTGGACTGGGCCTAAAGCAACATTGTACCCCAAAGAACTGGTTGCAAAGATAACAAGAAAGTTATTATGATTACTAGGTTGAAAATTAAAAACATTGTTTAGAATTAGCATCATTATGTTATCTGTACCAATAAAAATGCCTTCCGTTGATGTAGCTGTTCCCCTTCCCTTTATCATAAATATCTATTGTCGTTGTCTCCTAATTGAAACACTATTTGTTTGGGCTTCTGCCTGAATCAATGCATCCCAAATAGCTATTCTTTAATCTCAAATAAATGCTTATTACTTCTCACTTTGAAAGGCCTGTTTTTTTTTTTTTAGGTTAACATGAAAGAAAGCAACACGTAGATTCTCCTCTCCAGTATGGTAATAATTGTCTTAGTGTTTATTCTAACCAAGATAACTAAGAGTAATGTACAGTTCTACCTTTACCCAAAGGAGGTATATTTCAAGTAGCAAATTTTACCAAAAGTTTAACTGCTTTATTAGGTATAACTCTCAGCACATAATGTTTAAAAAAGTACTGCTTCTCTAGAGCAGGGGTTGGCAGACTTTCTATAAAGGTCCAGATAGTAAATATTTTAGACTTTGCCATATGGTCTCTGTTGCATCTACTCGACTCTGCTCTTATAGCAGAAAAACAGTCATAGATGCATGTAAATGAATGGTGCATGGCTGTGTTCCAATAAAACTTTATTTATGGACACAAATTTGAATTTCATACAATTCTGTGTCACAAAATAGTATTCTTCTTTTGAATTCTCCCAACTGTTAAAAAACTGCAAAAAAAAAAAAAATTTTTAGCTCTCAGACCCTTTTTAGCTCTCAGATAAGAATAGGCTTCAGGCTGAATTTGGCCCATGGACTATATATAGTATGCCTATCTTTGTTCCACAGAACAACAGCGAAACCTTCCATTTCTCCTTAAAGATTAACATTACAAAACAGATTGATTGTACCAGTCATGAGCAGGAAAATATGAAAACTAAAGAGAGACAAATTACCAAGAGATAGCCGAGGTGTAAAGGAATCAAGTCCTCATCCAGAATGCCCACTCACCCTGCTCCTGCATGGCCATCTCATCTTAGCATCCACAGCCATCAACAGTGAGTAAAGGGTGACCAGACCCGGTGTCCACAGTCCTCCAGCATGCAGGGTACCCTTCTGGTTCTGAGCAATAATTACTTTCTGGGCATTTTCATTATCTATCAAGTTACCACTACCCACTGTGTCTCCGAGTGGAACAGAAAGCCATCTTTTCATCCATCTCCTGAATTTGGAGTTCAGCAACGAAGAGTCCAGCTTCCCTGACTGCTAATGGCCCAGAGGAATCTAGCAGCTGTTATGTGCTCTGCCTACACAAAGGGGTTTGGGGAGGAATGGCCAGCTCCTGTGGCTCACAACCAAGGCCTGCCTACCAGATTACTACTCTGGCGTTTCAATTCACCAACTTCTTACTTTGACGAAGGACAAGACCTTTCTACAAAACATTTTAAAGAACATTTTTGCCCAGTATGGGAAACCTGGGCCTTTTCACATCAGAGAGGAAGGACAGAAGAAAGGAAATTCGGAAATACCGTTGTTTATTGTTAAACTGCACGCATCATCAGCTGAGGAAGATCGCCTGTCTGCCAAGACTTCCCAAAACCCCAGGAGCTGAAATATAAAGTACAGCATAAAAGGGTGTGCAAGTGGCCTTTACTTTTTTAAGGGACATTTGTACACAAAGGCACAAGTAAATAACATCAAGTCTGGGCAAACATCTCCCAGTTCCCAGTTAAAAGTAAAGGATAGCGGGCCAGGGCCCCATCCGGTTTTCTCTGAGAAACAAACGCCAGTGGGAAGGCTCCTGCGCGGACCCACAGTCCAGCGCCTTCCCGTGGTGCAATGTGGTGGGATACTATGTCCTTTCCCTGAGACCTGGGGGGTCTCCAGCAAGCCGCAAAGACTAAAACACGGTGTCTACTGTTAAAAACACATCCCGAGGTCTACCAGCCCCACTCAGGAGTCAGAAGCCTTTTTCTTAGAGAAAACTAGTGCTCAGAGTCTTAAGGATTTCTTCCCATTCAGACCGAGGAGGGAGACTTCAAAAGGCCTGCCAGGAAGATCTAAGCAACGAGAAAAGTGGCAGGGAGGTTAGGTGCTTTGCCCGGTCTAGCCATGCTGTGCTCGCAGGGTCTGTCTGGATGCAAGTTTATGATTGAGCGGCAACATCCTTTCCTTCCATGCTCCCCTCACTCCAGGTGGACGGACGATGCTCAGCAAATCGTCCGGGCAAGTCACCCGGCGCAGTCGCCTTCCCACGGTCCCTCGAAGCGCTCCGGGGCAGTGCAGGGGGCCGAGGACCACGCCCAGCGCTCAGAGAGCGTCCGCTGGGCGCATGTAGCGCAGCGTGTAGTTGGCCCCTGCGTTGTTGTCCCAGTACTCGCCTTGGGCGCAGCGGTAGCAGATCGCGAAGTGGACGGCGACGTTCGGCGCGTCCGTGTTTTCTCCTTCCTTGGGCTGCAGGCCCGGAGGCAGGCACAGCGAGAAGTGGAAACGCTGGACGCCCGGCTCCTCCTCGGCACCCGCGGGCCCAGGTTCCCCCGACAGCGCCTCTGGCCCCTGTGACTCCACTGGCTCAGGATGCAGCTCGGCGGGCACGTCCATAAAGGAGCGCCACTCCGTGAAAGTGTAGCGCACGGCCACGGCTCTCGGCCCAGGGCAGTCCAGAACCCGTCCAGAGCCTGTCACTTCCGCGCCCCAGGGTGCCGAACAGTGCACGCGCTCCAAGCACACGCGCTGCTGCTGCAGGCGCTCTGCTGCGGCGCTCGGCCCGGGAAGCTCGAAGAGTGGCCGGAGCCCAGGAGACTGCGCGGAGAGGGGCGCGGCGGCGGCCGCTGCCATAAGGCCGGGAAGCTGCTGCAGGTCCTCGGCGCTCATGGGGAAGCTGCGGAGGCGGGAGAACACGGCTGGCGGCACCTGCGGCTCCTCGGCCTGGCTGAAGTGTTTCACGCTCGCCAGGCTCAGCCCCAGCGCGTCCGCGAACTGCACCCGCTTCTTGCACTTGGCGCAGCAGCCACCCGGGCTGTGAGGCGCGTCCTCGGCCCTGTCGCCGTCCTCCGCACCCAGCGTCAGGGCAAGCTGCTGTCGCTGCTGCAGGAGCTTGGCCGCCTGCAAGATCGGGTCGGCGGGCAGAGAAAAGGAACGCGCGCGGAGGCGGCGGCGGTAATCCAGTAGTTCCTCCTGCTCCTGGATGGCAGCCTCCTCCTCCAGAGACAAGGGTTCGGCGTCGGGGCTCTCGGACTCCGCTATGTCGCTGCTGTCCCTGCCATCTTCCATGCAGAGGGTCCTCCCGGCGGGCAGCTCCTCGGCTGGTTGCGGGTCTCCAAAGGGCGCGGGTCCCTGCTCCTCCAAAGTTAGCAGCTGCGCCCCCTGGGGCTCCATGAAGCCGGCTGGCCTCGGGACCTGTCTGGGTCGCGAACCCTCAGCTCAAAACTCCTCTGGCGACTTAACACCTTTAATTCTTGACAGCGCGCAGCGCCCGCCCCAGGCTTCAGAAGAAAACACAGTTCCACGTGGGTGCCTCGGGGTTTTAGCGGCTGCCAGGGCGAAGTGGGAGGAGGATGCGGGCCAGGGGCCGGCTCCCGGCCAGGCCACCTCGGGACTGAACCTGCACGCCACCGGGGAGGGCCGGGGGCGGGGAGGCGCGGCCGCGAAACACCTGGAAGCAAGGCGGCGCGGAGCGAGAGCGCGTGGGCGGGGTTCTCGAATACTCCAGCGGAAAGTGGAAGACAGCTTTCTGGAAGTCGGGGCCTCCCTTTCACCTCCCTCCCACCCAGCGGGTCCTGCGGCGGTCCTGCCTCCGCAGCTCCTGGATAAACTCGCGCTCCGTTTTCGTCGACACTGGCATGAGCAATCTTCCTCCTACCCATAAAGTTAGCCCACAGGTCCTGACCTGTGTGCCCTTCGGAGTGTTGCAGAGAGGGCTCCTCCTGGCTGTCGCATCGGTCTAGGAAGTCCCATGGGCAGGGGAGTAAATGAGGAAAACCCGTCCGCGGGGAAGTTGGGAGGCAGCCAAGCCGTGAGGCCCGAGAGCATGAAGTGCCTCCCTTTCGACCTCTTCCGTCTTTCCCCAAACCTCAGGGCGCCCCCAGCTCCAAGCCTACTCAGAAGCTGGCGCGCTGGCCTCTTGGCGCTTCTGAAAGCCGCGCGGCGTGGGCCTGGGCGGAGTCTGGTGCGGGGACGCGCGGAGGAGTGGACACGCAGCGAGCTGCGAGCAGCCGGAGGCCATTCGCGCGGGGCCTGGGAGCACGTTCCCTCTCCTCCCCTGTTCCCGCCCGCTGCAGATGCGAGTTCGCGTGCACCGCCCCCACCGCGGCGGGACACCCGCGCCACCGCCCCCTACGCCCCTTCCTCCTCGCCCACCAGGAGTTGGGGCCTGACGCGCACTCAGACTGCAGCTCTGAGGCTGCGGGAGTCCCTCCACGCCCTTCCGAAGGAATGCGGAACCTGGGGGAGACTTCCAAAAATGTTTGTTGTTTTTGTTTTGTTGAGGTTTACTTTGATCGAAGTCGGTGATTCTCAAAACTTAGCGCGTATCAGCATAACAGGGAGGGGCTATAAAAAGGCATTGCTGGGCCCAGTCTACAGTTCTGATTCAGTAGGTCTCGGGTGGTGCCCCACAGTATTCCTAACAAGGGCATGCTGATGCTGCGCTCTGGGGACTGCATTTTGGGAACTACTAATAAACCTATGTGGACAGTGTATAGTAACTTGTATGAAACGTTGTTGATTCTAGAAACACAGAGCCACTATTTCAGAAAAAAAATCAAAAGCAAAGCCAGACTACCCAAATCATTTAATGGAGGCATAATAACTAAAATACCTTATGGTCTGGCAGAATTAAAGGGGCCAGGGCTTTAGGCATTTTGGTGTGGGGCATGTAAAAGTGCTGGTAAGTGGAGGGTAAGCATCATATTAATAGTCAATATTGACCGAGTGCCCAATGGTCAACAGTGCTGAGGGCTCCCTGTGCATGATCAGAACAACCCTGGGAAGTAGGAGTCATACTGACCCTGCTCTACATGTGGAACATAAAGGTGCAGAAAGGTTCTTCATTGCCCAGGTCTGGCAGCTAATTTGTGGTGGGATTTGAACCCAAGTAATTTATTTATTTTATTTTTTAAATGAAATTTATTGGGGTGACATTGGTTAATAAAATTATATAGGTTTCAAGTGTACAATTCTATAATACATCATCTGTATATTGCATTGCGTGTTCACCACCCAAAGTCAGATCTTCCATCACCATATATTTGACCCCCTGTACCCTTTTCTACCTCTGCCCCTCCCCCCTTTCCTTCTGGTAACCATTAAACTGTTGTCTGTGTCTCTGAGGTTTTGTTTCTCCTGTTTGTTTGTTGCTTCAGTTTTATATCGAACATATGAGTGAAATCATATGTTTCTCTACTTTGTCAGGCTTACTTCGCTTGTCATGCTAGTCTCTAATCCATCTATGTTTTCATAAATGGCGGTATTTCATCTTTTCCTATGGCTGAGTATATTTTGTTGTATATACGTATCACATCTTTCTTTATCCAATCATCTATGGAAGGGCACTTCTGTTATTTCCATGTCTTGGCCACTGTGAATAATGCTGCAATGAACTTAGGTGTACATATATCTTTATGAATAAATGTTTTCAAATTTTGAGGCTAGATACCCAGAAGAGGAATTGCTGGGTAAGATAGAAGTTCTTAATTCTTTGAGGAGCCTCCATAGTGTTTTCCATAGTGACTGTACCAATTTATATTCCTACCAGCAATGTATGAGGTGAACCCAGGTAACTTAGAAGGAAGATTTCTCCCATGGCTAAGCCAGGGCTGGGGGTGGTGTTCATGAGGAAGGGGCTCTGCTACCACTTGCTAGGATCTCGTGGGTACTCCCCTGCCCAGTGTGGAATGCCATGATTGCATCTCAACTTGGGGGCTTACAAAAGGCACCAGATACATGGTGTGTCTTCCTGGAATAACTCCAAGATTTCATGAAGAAAACATTGTTTTTATCTTTAAGTCAATATTGACATGTTATGGAGTTAAATATAAAATTTGCAAACTATTTTAATTTGAGACAGTGCTTCAAAGAGATTTTGAGGTTGTGGTGACTCTCTGGGCTACAACTCTCATCAGAGCATGGGCCCACTCTAGGGCAGGGACTAGAGGTAAGAGGGGTGCCTAGGGAATGGATTTTAGGGAGACATCACTCTCTGGGGCATACCGTGCCCTGATCCCAGCCCTGTTCCATTCTCCTCTCTTCAGTGGATACATTAGAAGTCCCCACCCTCATGGAGCTATCAGTATATTGGAGGAGACCACCATTAACCAAAAAGTCACACAAACAAATATAGACTTAGCCACTCTGGCAGATGCTAAGAAGGTGAGATCTGACCTGGTCCAGGAGGCCAGGGACACCTCTGTGAAGAAGGTGAGTGGGAATGAACAGCTAGGACTGCAAGGAAGAACATTTCAGCCCATATGCAGGCCTTGTGTGGGAAGGAGTGTGGAAGAGTGAGACTGGAGAAAGCCTATGTGCCCCAAGGGCAGAGAGCAAGGAGGACCTGGAAGAGCTGGGGATGGAGCGGGACATAGGCCACTCAGGGCCTTGAGCAATTAGAGGCCTTTGAAGGATTTTGAATCACAAGTGTGACTAACCAGATTTAAGTTTTGAAAGATCATTCTGCATGCAGGATGAAGAGCAGAGTGTAGGGGACAGCAAATGTGAGAGAAGCTGATAGAAGACTATTGCAGTCTTTTGCGTCAAGAAGGGTGATCATGCCTCACTTGAGAGACGTGGTGACGGTGGTGGGGTGGACAGATGTGAGAGCTATTTATGAGTGAAAACCAACATAACATGCTGATGGATCCATACAGAGGTAGGTGAGAGGGACAGAGAACTCTTTTAGGATTTGGACATGAGCAGTTGGGTAGAGGCAGTAGCAGTCACTGGGGGAGAGACCACTAGAAGAAGAATAGAGTGCAAGATCATGAACTCCATTTTGGGCAGGTCAAGCTTAATAGGTTCTTGAGTTCTTTGTGACACCAATTTGTTGACACCAACTGAGTGTCCAACAAATCAAATCTGACTCTGACTGCCTGGAGTTAGCATCAGATCTCACAGTTTAAAGGGCTCATTTCCATAAGACTGCCCCCACTTCAGATGCCAGATGCCACCACACTTTGGCCCAGCCAACTAAAAATTTGGGAATGCTCATAGTCCCACCCTCAGGTTTGATAATCTGCCAGAATGGCTCACAGAACTCAGGTGAAGGGGATCAGAATATGTCACCCCAAAATGTCATTTTTGCCTAAGAATTTTAAGCTGAAGGCAATTAAGATAACAGCAAAAGAGACTATCCTCCCAACTTTTGCCTAAAAGCAGGGCATAAATTTCCTTTTGTAAAGGTAACAAATTGTAAATATGTCTCCATCTCTTTTTTAAAGATATAATTGACATATAACATTATATTAATATTTATAAATATGTCTCCATCTCTTTTTTTAAAGATATAATTGACATATAACATTATATTAATTTCAGATGTACATGATTCAATATTTGCATTTATTATGAAATGATCATCACAATTAAGTCCAATTCATATCTATCACCACACATAGCTATAATTTTTTCCTTGTGATGAGAACATGAAGATCTAGTCTCTTAGAAACTTTAAAATATATAATACCATATTATTAACAGCAGTTATCATGCTGTATATATACCGTGGTTGACTTATGACTGTGAGTTTGTACCTTCTTACCCACTTCGCCCATTTTGCCCACTCCCACTCCCTACTTCTGGCAACCACCACTCTGTATCCATGAGCTTGACGTTAAGTTTGGTTTTATTCTTTGCTTAGAGTCTACATATAAGTGAGATCATACGATAATTGTCTTTCTCTGTCTGATTCATTTCACTTAGCATAATGCCCTCAAGGTCCATCCATGTTGTCACAAATGACAATATTTACTTTTTTTATGGATGAATATTTCATTACATATACATACTATGTCTTCTTTATCCATTCATCTGTTTAGGGGCACTTAGGTTGCTTTCCTGTCTCGGTTATTGTAAATAATGCTGCAGTGAACATGGGAGTCAGATATCTTTCAAGTTAATGTTTTAGTTTCCTTTGAATAAATACCTGGAAGTGGAATTGCTGAATCATGTGGTAGTTCTAATTTTTTGAGGAGCCTCCATACTATTTTCCGTAGAGGCTGCACCAATACACATTCCAAACAACAGTGCACAAGTGTTCCCTTTTTTCCACATCCTTGCTTGTTTTTTTGATAATAGCCATTCTAACAGGTATGAGGTGATATTACATTGATTTGCTTGTTTCTGATAATTAGTGAAGTTTGGTACCTTTTCATGTACCTGTTGGTCATCTGTGTACCTTTTTAGGAAAATGTCTATTTGGATCTTCTGTCCAATTTTTAATCAAATTGTATGTAATCTATGTATATATGTATGTATGTATGTATGTATGTATGTACTTGATATTGAGTTGTATGAGTTTTTTATATATTTTGGATATTAATGCCTTATCAGATATATTTTGTAAATATTTTTTTCCATTCAGTGTTACTATTTCATTTTATTGGAGGTTTTCCTTGCTGTGCAGAAGCTTTTTAGTTCGATGTAGTCCCATTTGTCTATTTTTGTAAGATAGTGGTCTAGTTTCATTCTTTTGCATGTGGTTGTCCTGTTTTCCCAACACCATTTATTGACGAGACTGTCCTTTCTCTATTGTATATTCTCGGCTCCTTTGTTGTAAGTAAATTGACCACATATAAGTGGATTTATTTCTGGGCTATTTTGTTTAATTGATTTATGTGCCTGTTTTTATGCCAATACCATACTCTTTTGATTATTATAGCTTTGTAATATAGTTTGAATTTAGGGCTTGTGATGCCTCTGACTTTGTTCTTTCGCTAGATTGTTTTGGTTATTTGGGGTCTTTTGTGGTTCCACATATATTTTAGAATTTTTTTTGTTCTATTTCTGTGAAAAATGCTATTGGAACTTTGATAGGTATTACATGAAATCTGTAGATTGCTTTGAGTAGTATGGACCTTTTAACAAAATTAATTCTTCCAATTCATAAACACAGAATATCTTTCCATTTATTTGTGTCTTCTTCAATTTCTTTCATCAACATCTTATAGTTTTTAATGTATAGGGCCTTCACCTCCTTGGTTTAATTTTTCCTTGGTATTTTATTCT